TTACATAGGTGCTCTCGTCTCTTTACCCGGCGTCTCTCGGATCCGGATGTTGATTGCCTGTCTGTATACCTGCCTGCCTGCCTGCGCGCCTGCCTGCCTGCCTCCATGCCTGCCTGTCTGCCTGCCTGCCTGCCTGCGCGCCTGCCTGCCTGCCTCCATGCTTGCCTGTCTGCCTGCCTGTCTGTCTGTCTGCTTGCCTGTCTGCCTGCATGGCTGCATGCCTATATGCGTGGCTGTCTACTTGCCTGCAGAAATCTCGAAGGTCGTTAGCAAACATTTATAGTGCGGGGGACGTAAGAAAATTAGATTTAACTACATGGAATCGCGCAGCGGCAGCGCGCAGCGATCATATCGACTGTATGTATGTGCAGCGCTAAAACTATTACCGTAGATATCAGCTTCAGAAACAAGAGTTTACACTCGGGGAACGCTGCGGCGGCAATATCGTTACCGCCACGGTTAGAATTTAACGAGTCTGCTAATAGGTTAAACGAAATCTCGCGAGAGGCGCAAGCCCGCGCAGTGTTGGGAGTTAGTGGGTGGTAGAGTTTGCCCGCCATCGCTGCTTGTCGCACAGTAGAGAGAGATATATATCATGAATTCTTCCAACCAATTTTATGCTACTTTTATAACTGTATGGAAAGTGACCAAAACGCGTGATAGGATGGGGACACCTGACCTATAGTAGTAATTGAAAAGAGAACGCGATAAAGAAAGACAGAAAGCTAGAGAGCTAGAGAGTGAGAGAGAGAGGAAGAGAGAGAGAGAGATAGAGATGAGGGGAAAGAAAGAGAGAGAGAGAGAGCGAGTGAAAGCGGGCAAGAGGGGGATATAGAGCGAGCGAGAGGGAGAGACAGAGACATTGCGAGCGAATGAGAGAGAGAGAGAGAGAGAGAGAGAGAGAGAGACAGACAGAAAGAAGGGAGGACGCATGTAACGAAGTGTTGGCCATAAACGTTTCTCGTATGAAACATTTTTCATTCAATTCTTAATGCTTCTCACATTTCGTACATCGTCCTCTATCGAACGAAAATGACTCAGCAGGCATGGCGGGCGCTGACAACAACATCCTCGTGGTTTTATAGTCCGAAAAAGCTTTCAACTAGCTAACGTTGCCTATCTAGCCCTTGCCTCCCCGGTAACACCGCTGACATAAAATATTGCCCGGAGATATAACCACTGCACGTACATCGCGCAATTTACACAGGCAATTGTCAACCAAGTTCGTAGAAAACTTGCGAAAGGAGGAGAGGAACGGAAGGGAGAAGGGAGAAGGGAGGCGTCACGTCTCTGATATACGAGCCAAAACAAATAAAATCGCATTGACTCAAGTTTGCTCATCAGTCTAATGGCCTCATCGTGAAAGTTTTGCAAATTGCGAGGAACACATTCGTTGAAATTAATTGTAAACAGCAGAAATAAAAGCAGCCGCTGCAGCAGTAGAAGCAGCTGAAGCAGTGCCAGCAACAGCAACAAAATCAGCAGCAGCAGCAGCAGCAGCAGCAGCAGCAGCAGCAGCAGTAGTAGAAGCAGGAGCAATAACAGTAGGGTGTAGCGAGGGTGGAGAGAGGCTGTCCGTGGCGGAGCCTCAAGTGGTAGTTGTCCTGCTGCAGAGTTGTCCTGCTGCAACCATCACATCGCATTGTCACTGGGGACGAATCCCCCCCCCCACCCACAGCTTACGCGTCAGCGCTCTCTAGCGACGACACCTGATTGCCACGTCCGCCATGATAACCAATGAAATTCTATTCGCATCTTAACGTATTCTATTCGTATTATTTAACGACGTAATTTGCGCACGCGCACATTGCGCTGATTTCACATCTTGCCCTTAAATGGATACACGAGTCACTATATATATATATATATATATAGTAATTATAATATATCAGTGACACGCGCGCGTAGGCGACCTTTTTCTAGACGGGGCGGGCCATGGCTTTAGCGATGTAATCAATCCCTATTATATATATATGTAATATTCGGAGTGTAGGCTTATAGGATACTATTATATTTATTATTCTGTATTTAAAGTGATCATTGCGAGTTTTTTGGCTCAGAAAAACTAAATATAGCTGAATATAGTCTCACCTGACAGTGGAAATATCACTGATTATACCCACATTAAAAACACCAAGATTTTATGCAGTTATAGCATAGAAAAATTGATTTGACCACATCATACCAGCAATAAATTTTATCGTGTCACGACTCTCAAAAATCACAAATGGCGTCTCAAACAAGCGAACATAATTAAAACAAAAGGGCGTGCAATTCTGTTTGGTAAATATTATTGAGTTTTTATGTCAATAATTCAGAGCACTTTCTGTCATTGTAATTCCCGTGTTACTATCTGACTGGCAATCCACAAGCTTCTCTAATAACAGACTTTACGTGGCATTAAGTACTACACTGCTGTTACGTTAGTATGAACGTCTGTGTTTACACTCTGACCTGATTCCTACGGTGCGTAATATGCATTGCTGCACCGTGATAGATGTCTCGTGCTACCGCGAGAAAATTCGAGAGATGGCAACGGTAAACAGAAACAGAACGCAAAATTGTAATCGTGCATGATTTCATTGGATTTGGTGAATACGAAGGTTCTAAGACATTTTATCGTTACTCTAGACAATTGCTGTTACTCAAGCAATAACGGTAGGTATCATGAAAGTGGGGAAAACACTGGAAAATTCTCGCAATAGACGCTTTAATATGTCGTTAATAAAGAATATATAAGATATTCTTATAAGATATAAACTAAGATATAACTAAGATATAAACTATATCTAATATAAGAACATATATTATTATATAATAATATAATAAAGATAAAACTAAGATATAAACTAAGATATAAGATATATAAAAATATATATATACGATATATAAGATGAATAAAAAATATATAAGATATATAAGAATATTAAGATGTTCTATATCTAATATTCTATTATTCTGTAGAGTTTATACGATACACTCCTGGTAATATCATGCCGAATGCGGAGCCGTCTCGTGCGTCTAGCCGTTCGCCCTCCGGCTGGGAATGTGCGCACGACGTAACGTGGCAGACGATCTGCGATAGAGAACGAGAATCATTTTCATGGCGAGAGACGCGGAGAAGACAAGTAGTGGTGGGGGTCGGATGCGTACGGCGTAAACACCTCATTCTTCCGCACGCGGACGCTCTCTCACCTTGCTACCGAAGAAAAGAAGGAGATGGAGAGCGAGAGAGGACGAAGAGAGGTGGATGAGATCGAGAGTCCATAATAGAACAATTTTTTATTTTTTTATTATGGACTCTTAATGAGATCGAGTGAGAAGTGAGCAGGGCAGGGAGATAAAGAGACGGCGGGAGTATGCGAAATAGGGAAGGAGATGGGAGAGAGCGCGCTCAAGAAAGAGATCGGGGAAGGGGAGAGTACAGAGAGAAAGGAGAAGAACGAGATAGTGGGTGAAAAGAGAGAGTGCGAGGGAAATAATTTGCGTGGCTAGCTCTGGTTTCCCTTTTATATACAGCCTGATACGCGCAGGAAATTTTGCCACCTGGCTTATTTCCTTCTATTATCCCCGCAGGATTAGGATTTATGGTATCCGGTAGCAACCGGAATTAGATGCGCTCTCAACATTTCAGTTTTGTCCTAGGTGGTTAATAATGAACCCAAGCTTGTGCGTCCGTGTATGTACACGCGTGTATGCGTGTTCGCGCGTGCATGCATGCGTGCGTGCGTGCGTGCGTGCGTGCGTGCGTGCGTGCGCCGTGCGTGCGTGCGTGCGTCCGTGTGTTAGCGCGTGCATGCGTGCGTGCGTGTGTGCGTGCGTGCATGCGTGTGCGCATGCATGCGTGTGTGCGTGCGCGAGTGCATGCGTGCGTGCATGCTTGCGTGCGTGCGCGAGTGCGCGGGTGCATGCGTGCGTGCGCGAGTGCTTGCGCGCGCAGATCTGCTGGGAGCTTTATTTTGTTTGCGCGAGATATTGACATTTGAAGGGAGTGACGGGCAGGAAATTGCTGTCTATAGCCATCAATAACGGACGCTGGATTTACAGCAGTCGCTATAGTAGCTATATATGTTCTCTCTATACAACCTCCCTGCTGTTCTGTTTGCGCTCTGTTATGCCACGTACATACGAACACGCACACGCAGACACACACACACGCGCACACGCACACGAACACACATGCATGCGTACGCGTACGCACGCACACACACGCACGTACACGCACGCACACACACACGTACACGCACGCACACACACGTTCACGCACGCACGCACGCACGCACGCACGCACGCGCACACAACCCTTATTCTTTCACAAATATTCAGGCAATAATACTTCTATTGTGCGCGTGCATCCGAGGCAGAGCAGTCACACGTACATCCGTAGATTCTGGGGTTCTGTTCGTAACATACGTTACGAAACCAGTGTATCTATCTTACACGGGTGACAGAAAATAATTTTTTATCAGATGCAAGTACATGATACCCTTGTATCGCACGAACAACCTGTACATGGTTTGGCGGGTTTAGCATATCACATGCGACTGATGCGAGGGAGTAACCGCCATATATTGGGGTGTATACAGATATTCTACCATGTAGAACTCAACAACTCACACCCTGTTGTCTAGAGCGAGTTTAGCACTTTCGCGATAACATACAAAGAGGGCGACGATGTCGAAACCCATCCTGGTAGTAGTTGTGACGTCACACGTCTAAAGCATCGTAACTTTTGAAGTGACGTGTCATGCATTAGTTATGATATTTTAGACTCGTGATGTAGGCCCTACATAGCTATTCATGATCTTTCTTACAACCCCCGCCCAGCAACCCACGGTCCACCCACCCACCAGTGACGCAAGTAGAATTGTTTGCGTGTGATAATGCATCATCACAATCTCGGTTCACGTCTGCTAAGTACATACTAACAAGGGCTATTAATACCTGTATAATTAGCTCTTGATACTAATTGGCCGCGCTGTCTCTTTTCATCGTTTCAGACTACACGTACAAAGATGGCATCAGGATGTTAGCGGCGTCCGACGGCAGCTCCCCCTGGCTGCCGTATCGGTGTGAGATTCGCTGCAACAACGGGGAGCATTGGTTGTATCCGGCGACGAACATGTCTCCCTATCCCGTGCCTTGTCTGATCAACGATAGCGATATCATCGGCCCATGCAGACTCACTCACGGTACGTCACTGCACTCGTCACTCTACATACTACCTATACTTTACTCTTACTCTACCGTCGGTTATATATATGCCATACAATCACTATCGGATAGGATTAAGAGCTAGTAAGACATGTATAATGTATGTGTGTATAATGTATACATGTATATCAAGGGTTAATAATGAGAAATTTTAATAATATTTGACAAATAATAATTGACAAATTGACAATTTGTCATTATTAATCCCTGATGCGTATATATATATATATTATAATAATGTAAAATTAGCTCTTGATAGGATGTATGGCATTTGTAAGCCATTGCTGACTACACTATATTCACCGTGTGATGAAATTTGTGACATTGTAAGTCATTGCGACTATCTGAGTTACTGTCCAGTGTGATGTAGTGTAATTGGTAAGTCACCAATAGCTATCTCAGTTGACATTTTGGTGAATTATGTGACATTTGAGGTTTAACCCCCACTATCTCAGCTACTGTCCTATGAGATATGTGACATTTTAAAGGACAATTGAAGTCAAATTTTATAACTTCTGTAACGTTTTTATACACTAATAAATACATTGAATAAACGTTATTCCACCCATATTCAAAATCCGGCGGCCGCAGTTTAACCATCCCGCTCAAGTAAGAACACAATGGAATATTAGTCTAGGTCATGTGACGTCCAGCCCCCTATTGAATACACGCTATGTATGTAAACATAGTGCGTGTCGACTTGGGGTGTATAAGATGGAGACAAAAGAGCGCATATTCAATGATTCTAGTGATTACTCAGATGATATGATATTTAGAGTGATTTACCAAGTTGGATATACGGTTTGAGCCTGAATATACACAATGAAGAAATTGAGGAGAAATCGTCTGAAAAGGCCAACGGCGAAGAGTCCGGCCACAAACTTCTCAGAATCAGAACAGTCACCGCAGCACATGGCGGAATTGGAAGCTTCGGTAGCCAGATAGGACTGTAAACAAATTACTGGTGTTTGCTTGTAGTGTTTGTGAATTAATGCAGTAGCGGCACCTGAATGTATATGCTGGCTGAGAATGAGAAGATCAGGTTATGTGTAGACCAGTTTCGACGCTAGACCAAGGTGAGGCCATGCGAGTACACTGACTTCACCGGGGGGCTTATCAACGCTCGGTCAAAGAATCCAACATATGTATCGTCGTGAGCACTGTAACAAATATCTTCTACGCAAGTCATGTACATAGGCCGTGGAATGCATTAAATCGCACAACAGGTATATGTATGATACATGAATATGAAGTATCATTTACAGGCTAGCATGTTTGTTGTATGCTGTAACAATACTTTCACACTAGCATAAGCATAATACTAAGCGTGTTATGCCACTGTTACGCTATATAGATGGCGTGTTCAACGAGGGCTGTGACGTCACATACCTTGATTCAATATTCCAATGTGTTTCTTAGCAAAATTGGGGCGCCGGATTTGAAATGGAATAAGTTATTGAATGTATTTCTATGTATAAAAGCGTTAGCAGAAGTTATAAAATTTTGACATTCAATTGTCCGTTTCAAGTCATGAATAACTATCTCAGTCGACTGTCGCGGGAGTATATGTGAAGCATTTAAGTCACTTCGTCCTCCATCCGAGGCTCGGCTGTCCAATGAGGATATCCAATATGATGATATCTAACATCAACTCTCACCTTACAGCGCAATAAGCTGATCGATACAAGTACTACTGATCAGTGAGATCAGCACAAGATCACAGTGCGATAACAGTCAGTGCACAGCTGATGAGCTAAGCAGCGCGCGGCGCATCGGGTCGGCCTTGCGACGCGATTTGATGATGAGCGTATGGCCGCGGACTGTGGCAGGCATGCGCCGGCGACCGTAACACCACTCGGCCTAGCATCAGCTAGGCGCAGCTACCGCAAAAGCAACTAACATTGCCGCTAACGCATCAGACTGGATGGCACCATCGCAAACGGTACACAACTAGAGAGCGAGCAGAGGGAGCGGAAAGCAGAAGGCACGATGAGAGAGAGAAGAGAGAGGAAGAGAGAGAGAGAGAGAAGACGAACAGGAAAGAGGATGAGCCGGCGAAACGAGAAAGTGAGCAACGTATAAGATACTAACAGAGAGAGAAGAGAGAGCAAGAAAGATGGTATGAAGGTGAGGAGTCAGGAGGTGAGAGCGAGAGACGAGAGAGACTGACCACAGATAAAATAATAGAGAGAGAGTAGATATGAAGTAGAGAGTAGAGAGAGAGAGGAGAGCAACCAGAGAGGAGCAGACGCTAGATACGAGAGTCAAGAGAGAGGCGCTATGATGCAGAGAGCAGAAGCGCGCGAAGTGCGCAAGAGACTGCGCGAGAGCCTCAAATAGGTAAATACCACGATGCAATTAATCAGGTGGCTATATAGTAACCAAAACTCATAAATACGAGTACGAGAGTAATGGATCTATACACACCTGTCGGAGGATAGACCTCGTACTATCTTGGTACTCGGTGATCGCATAATCAGGCGGTGGAATTAGCGAATGCTACAGTGTGAGCCGCTGGACTAATATTGCTGCTAAATATAATGCTTTGACGAACATTATGATCCATTAAGATTCGGAATACGTGTGTTGCATCATAGAATTTGCGAGAGCGCGCACTACCCCACTGGACACGTTCGTTAGACGAACTAGCAGTCCTCACATGCGTCACTACCGAGCACTACACGTACACACCTACACACACGAGCGAGCTCTGGCCGGTCATAGTAACACACCACAACACATCTAAACACGGAACACAACAGCACGACAAGCTGTGAGTCGCTATACGCAACACACTCTCTCTGCTCTCTCTCTTGTCTTCCTCCACAGCGACATCGTCTCGTCGTCTCTCACACACACACACTCTGATCGTATGTCTCTGCGTCGCTCGACACACATACGCATGACACGACATAGCAACACGCACACACCACGACACCAGCAAGCAAGCCAGCACACACACACACAGCACAAAGACGACGAAGCGCGCAAGCCTCGCACACATCACTATCCCCTGCGTGCTCGTCGTCGTCTCCTCTTCTCTGCTCTCTCATCGCCTGCGTACTCTTGACTTTGGGCCCTCTTTCTGCCTTCTCCGCTATTTGCCCTTATATCGCACTCTGAATTTCGCTTTGTTCCTGGATCTGAGTAAAATACAATTGTGCTCTCGTGTTCTCATGTGGATCAATTGTTTCGTCTCGTGTAAGACACAGCGATAATCACTCTAGTGGTATATGCTATGTATGCAATCCACCGTCATGCATAATCATGAACGCGTGACGGCGGTAAGTGGCTCAGTAGTTCGACGGGGCAGTGTAGTCTTGTTGCTGCGTCTATAAGCAGTCTCCCTCCAGCGGCTACAGTTCTCATATCATACTATGCCGGTGTTTGCAGGTTCCGCAGTGTAGTCTGTTCCTATACCATCCACCTCATCTATCTATCCGGTGTTTGTCGCACAGGTCGCACGAGACTGTTCGACTAACAAACTCCATACTCAGCACTGCTGCTAGTCTATCTATCAGGTAGTGGCAGTGTATGAAAGTACGAGTAGTAACAATTGCTGTTCTTATACCGCATCCAGCCGCCATCTATTCTTATACTTATGAGCTTGTTCGCTACAGTTTAGCGCAGTGCTAAGCTCTGTTCACTAATGATAGCCATTCCAACACAATGTATCTATCGGTGCGGTGTTCGCAGGTATTCAGCAGTGAGGAGCTACGCACCTAGGTCGAGTATGTCTCAGAAGCAACCGGGGACAGCGCGAAACCGGGCACACGACATGGGAGCCAGCGAATAAATAGCGACGACGCACCTCGTCACAAATGAGAGGACGGCGCCCGCGCAGGACGCTGGTGCGCTCGGGTCAACATCTCCGCGTCCCTGCAGCGGCCGGGCCCCTCTCACTCACATTAAACTACGACACCAACAGGCATCTTATCTATGCGAAAGTATGCTGCACGCGTTAACCATCAGGGTAAGTAAAGTGCTCTATACTGGCATTCCACTTACAGGCAGAAAACTACTATTTCTATCCGGTGTTTTGCAGGTTCACGGCATTTGTTAAGTCTAAGCGTTATACATGGATATAGCCTATCACTACGTCATTCATTATACAATACAGAACGGATGACTTATGTTGCGAGCTTGCCAAGCACGTACGTGACATCGTGTCACATGGAGAGCGAGCGCACCGTCAATCTAATCTATAACTCCTGAGTAGTTTTCTTGCAGGTACACACGAGCAGTGTAGGCATCGTGACTACTGATACACGCAGCGTGAACCGGATCGGCCACCATAACATCTAATCTACTGACCGTCAGTTTCTGCATGTAAAATCAGTTTACTATACATGTTCCGCGAGCAAGCCTGTAATCTGTCTGGCGCATAGGCTATATACCGTATTCTCAAACCAACAAACACATCATAACATGTCTTATGCTCGGCGAGTGTATCGCAAGAGTACTGCTCCAGTAGTACGGTCTGATTAGCCGGCTAATATGAACCAACTGCCACTCTTCATAGTAACTGAAGTCACTACCGAGTACTATTGGCTGGAGGTTCCGAGCACGTAGTAGCGTAAAGCGCAGGAACGGGCTCGGACACCTCATCATCATGATTCTCTTAACACAGCGCGCGAGCACGTCAGCGCGAGGGCGGAATGATGATATAAACGAACTCTTGCACCACGTAACGGAAAGGCTACAAATCTTCCTTCAACTATTGATTTTATTATCTTAATTATGTATTACTTATGTATTATTATATCTATGTATTGATTATTTATTAGTTTGATTTGACACCTTTCAATGGTTATTCACTTTTAGGGTACAAATATTTTTAAACTTTCAAATTATGGGCTAACTGGGGCGACAACTATTGGTAGAGTTCTGTAGCGCGAAAGGCATTCCGATGGTACATCGACCTGAAAGCAAACGCAATGAACAATTGCTGACGCGGAAACAAACGGATCATGTCGAA